GTCCTCTCCTCTGAGAGGGTCAGCAGGTATGTCATGGCAGCTGGGAGCTGTGGAAGAAACCAGGACTGGGACAAACAGAGCTAGTGGATGATTAGGAAAAAGTGTCTTCCTTTGGAATTCCACTTTTTTCCCCACAGCAGGATGAGAACGGCTGTTTTTCTGAATGTAAATTTCAGCCTTGATTTTTGCAAACTTTTAATCGATTTATTAGTGAAGATATAACAAGTGTTTTCCCAACCAGAAATGCATTTATTTCACTGTACTTACAGAAATGCTACTGATGCTGCCCAGCATTTCTTGAAAACCATTGCAAACCCACCAGAGACTGGCTGTACAACTTAAAAGTTGTATTTATTTAATGTACCTCAAAGTGTTTTAACTATCGTCAGTGTTTTAATAAAAAAGTATTTCTGGACTTTGCCTTTTCAACACTGATTTGGATACAAACGTAAAGGTGATTTATACACACATACACAGTGCTGCTTCTAATCCATTCCTGCAGTGTCTGTCATTCCAGACTAACTGATCTGTCCAGTTGAATCTGCTCCCCCCTCCCAGGGCTGCCCTTTTAAGCTGCAGCACTTGCTGCAGTGTGGTTTATTCCTGCTCTGTTCTGAATGTGCACCACTTCAGTCCTGCAGTAGTGTGTGACCAAGAATTGATGGCAAATCCTCTGCAGAGTGTGACCAAAAGATGCATTAGGGAAGAAGACTGAAATTCTGCATTTTTCACAAACTTTTTACCAACAGCAACTGATTGGAAGTTAGAAGAATTTTTATCTAGTAGAGCCTTGAGTATTTTCAAAAAGAATTGTAACTCTAATTCATAGTTTTGACAATTTTATTACTAAAACATATTATTGTGGTTCTGCTGTGTTTATGATTTATTTAACATTGATCTTTTAAAAAATATCAAAAAGTAAATATTGACACTGATTTCATTACCAGCATAAACACAGGTCTGCCAGCAACATCTTCCAGTGCAAGCTTCATCCTGGCTCTTTCAGAGGAAATTGGAAAGGCCTTAAAGAGAAGGTTCTCATAAAGAACCCACCACAGGTTGATGTTTCGGGATTTTAATTTTTTTGCAGCAGTGCTTGTCAGTAGCCTTAGTTTCCATTTGAGGTTTAATCATATACTGGTTTCATTTGTGTCACTCTGAGCTGGGCAGACATCCTGTGAAAAGGTCACAAAGGAATGTAGCTGAAGATTGGTAGTTTAAGTTTTACAGATTCATCCATTTTAATGTATTTTAATTATAGCATGCTTCTGTATTGATGTGAAGTTACAGTGACATCCAGTGGCAACAAGGTATGCTAATTGAAAGCTTCTACTCTCAAGATCATAATGATACACAAATTCCTAATTCAAGAGAATATTTCCTTTTAAAAAAAAATCTGTGACCTTTGCAACTGCACTTAGATGAAGAATTAAATGATCTTCTACTTGCAATTTTTTTACTATGTAAAGTTACACAACAAACAAAATAAGCAAGCTTCCTTTCTTATTTCAGATTTATTAGTGATAGGTTAATTCTTTCCTAAGGTCAGTTGCATGCAACACACTACTCCTTGAAGTACAGTCATCTAAAGCTCTTTAGTTACTGCATGGTAAGGCTTCTTAAGTCACAGTGTATTTTCTTCAAGGCCTTGGCCGAAAGAAAAAAAAATAGACAAAGTTACACCAATTAACATTTATGTCATAAGGAATACAACTTTACTACTAGGTTTTTATCTACACACATTCTAATACTGCTGATGGTGCTAGGTTATTTGTCAAAACAATTTACATTCAGAACACATTGCCTTAGGAATAAGAATGCTTTATAAAAGACAGAAACAGGTAAGCATGGCTTTCCCATTTTGAGCTATTATGAACAAAAAGGTAATATGCAAAAATTAAAGAAAAAAAAACCCCAGCCCAACACATACATTACACAACCTGTGCAATAAGTTATCCATGAAACAACTCTGTTAAATCATAAAAATCACAAGCATTAAAAATAAATATGTATCTAAATAAATATTTTGATTTTAATCTTGTGGCAATTATTCTTTATTTAGCATATGAAACACTTGTTACATGTTTATGTTCACACCTTGCCAAACAGGTTACACTTGTCATAACAATACCAAGTACTACAGTGGTTTTCTTTACAGTAGAGTCTAAAAGTTTGAACTGCACACATTCCTTTCCACTGAAATACCATCAATTCAGCACCAGTTTTAAAATTATGCAAAGTCATCAATATTGGACCACTTTATGGGACTGGGATTTTTTTAACTTGAGGCAGCCAGAACTTTCTCTAATTGCTTCTCTCTGCCATCTCCTGCAGTCTCATTCATCAAATATTCACATTCACTGTGTTATCAAACAAGACAGACATACATCACTCCACATAAAGGTTACAAATAAATATGTTTTAAGTTCTATGAGAAAAGAGTTTAGAAGATGTTCAAAATACTTAAATGTTTACAAAGATTTTTGTCTGTGATTATTGTCCTTGACCATCCTTCTCAACACTTTTTGTCAAAGAAATAGAAAGGAAGGAGAGAAAAGGCAGAGACACCTGTCTGTTCCTTGTTCTGGAGTCCTCAGGTCAGCTTCCAGGCCTTTCATTCATACAAAATACAAAATTCTCTTCAGTTATGACAGCTTCAGCTTGGATGGAAGATGTTAGATGTACAGGGGGGTCTCTTGACCTGTTAGGAGCCTGAACATGGCAGCTGGCATAGTCTTCATGTGAATCTGTCAATTGATTATACAGACATTAATAGAGCTAGTACTAGTTTAAAATAATCCAGAAGGCCCCATCTGTTTCTCCCTGTGGTCAAAGTGCATTTTTTGTCCTGGCTTCTATAGATCTTTTTCCTAGATTTTCTAGTTCAAAGTTCTCTGGTTTTAGGATGCTGGTTTGCTGTCTTTGTTTTTTTTTTTTTTCATGTGGTTTGGGTTTTTTGGTTTGGTTTTGTTTTGTTTTTTAATTTATTAATGACAATTACATGATGTGACATCATATAGTTTTAAAAGCCACCTAAACACTTTTTGTTGATATACCCTGCTCCAATTACAGTAAAGTTTACAGGCCTTAAATAATAAGTAGCACAAACCTCTCTGAAAATTCATTCTGCTGTTCTGATATTAATGGAACTTAATGGATAGATTTGTATTCTATCTTCCTCTCTGTGGGAATGTCATTTCATATTTTCACCTAATTACAATATGATCTTCTGAACACAGAACTTGGACTTTGGCACCTGGTGTTCAAATGCCAATCAAGAGTTTGGTGGAACAGCTTCTCCTATGGCTAATGTCCAACCATGACACTAATGTACTTCAATTCCTTCCTCAAGGAGTCCTGGGGCTCCAGTCCCCAGTGCCAGAGGATTTCACAGACTGACAGAGCCCAAGGCTCAGGTAATCAGGTCTCCACCAGAACTGGACTTACTGGACAGCACAAGAAGAAGAAAGGGAAACTTTACTGACTGATAACACAGACCCTGACCAGCTGCCTTGGTATCTTCTCTTCAGGCTGTAAAGAAGAAAAGTTTCATGCTGTTTTCCTATGTTAGGTGAGAAGTTACACAGTGAAGGGGGACCATGGAGGGGCTGTTGGAATCTACAGCTTTGCTCCTGACAAAGAGCACATACTCTATTATGATTTGTCAGGTATCATTTCCCAGGAGGACACCAGCTGTCTCTGATTTTTGTCAGAGGAACTAGTTGGAGATCTGGCCAGGGTTCTGTACTTAGACTACCATTAAATTCAAGAGGGATTTTGAAAAACTGGACAATCTTGCTTATTCATTGCTGATCTCGCTAGAAGTACTGGAGAGAGGTGACTTAACTTACTTCCAAGGTAAGTTGGAGATTAAATTATTAAAATGTTTATTGGTTTGCATCTTTCAGACCCAGTAATTCATTTCTATGGCAGATGCTGTAGTGATAAGAGACATCTTCACAGCCAACATCCCTGAGTGATTTCTTCCTTTAATCACTTGATTTAATTCAGACAGTAGGTTGAAGGTATAGAAATTCAGGAATTCTTAAAAATGAATGGAAAAATGCAGTGAATGTGCATCATTAGTTGTTAAAAAAACCCCAACTGTTAATTGTTTCTTATTAGTGCCAAACCTAATTTACTGAATTGGTGAATTTAATGCTGTGTTGACACATTTTTCCACTGAAACATACATTTTTTCAACTCTTTTACTTCCTTGCTAAAGGCTTTGTTCCCTTACCTCTCCCACTGAGTTGGACAGTGCTTGCACTATCTTCTCATGGGCCGTGGCCACCACGCTCTGCCCGTTGATCTCGATGATCCGGTGTCCCACTCTCACGCCGCCCCTCTCTGCTATCCCACCTCGCATCAGGCTGCAGATCTGCCAGGAGAAAGCAATGGTTACTGAGGTTTAGAAATACCATGTGGCTCTCGCTGGGATTTAATGAGTGGTGTCACTGTCAGGATTCCAGAAGATGCTTGTTGAAAGTATTAATCAATGAGTTTTTAAATGTTACTTTAGGGTTTGTTAGAGGGAGGTTTTTTTTCTGAGATTTCTGCCTGTTATAATTTTCATTTTTAGTCTCCA